AAATTTAATTATATATTAGAACACCCTAAAATTATGTATACCATTACGAGGGCACCCTTTAATGGCATGTACGTATATGTGTATGTATGTGTATTTGTTGACAAATGCAGCTGCCACAGCTTTATGACTTTTATGTGCCCTTATAAACATTACACACTAACAACTGGTCCTGTCCTGTCCTGTCATCTTTGATTTTTTATTATTTTTTTTCTTCATATATATATATATATATTATTGCTAGATGTGTTAATTATCCGAGCCAAGTCAAGCGCAGCCGAGCCAAATTTTAAGTGTTCGTTAATATTCGCGAACAAGACTTGTGTTCGTTCGTAGTGTTCGAGCTTGGCTCGTTAAGAATTTTTGTTGTTTGAGCTCGTGTTCGTATTCGGCTCGATTAAGCTCGTTCGAGCTCGTTTATCTTATTTTTTTAAATTTATATATAAATTATAAAAAAAATTAAAATTATTTTATTTATATATTTTAAATTAATATTTTATTTATTTATAAATTATAATTTTATATGTATATAATATTTATAATAAATATATTATTTAAACGAACATTCGCGAATAAAATTTACTTGTTCGTTAACCAAACGAGCCTGTTTATGTTGTTCAACTCGATTCGTTAACATTCGCGAATAAACTTTAATCGAGCCGAATCGAGCTAAATCGAATCGAGTTCACAAACCAATCGGTTCGTTTAAGAGCTCTAATTATTGCTTTATATACATACGTTTTTCAACGTCCTCGATTGAAGATGTTTGGATGTCTTATTTTCTTTTGTCAAAAAAAATATAAAAAGAAAAATTAGTGGGCAGATGATGGCCTCAATCCTAGCAAAATTTTGGAGTGTATTCATGAGTAGGTCCGTAAGTTTGACCTTTACTTTATTTTCTTTTCTTTTCATTGTGGGCCTTTAATTTGCTTTTTTTATTAGTCTCTCATTTGTGTAAACGTATGCTTACTTGACCAGACATGAATTTTAATAAAAATGAGTATTAATTATTATTTTTTTTATATAATAAAAAATAAATACAAAAGTATAATAATTGTTTACTGAGAATATTTTTCGATGACAATCCAAAAAAAAAAAAAGTGAACATATATTTGATTGACATATGAAGTATTTAATAAAAATCATAAAATATTTAATATTTCGTCATAAACCATATAGCATAACACAAATTAATTAACACTGTGATCAACTTAGGGGTTGAGACGGTTCGGGTATTTGTAAATATATAGGTATTTGATATTTGAACTGAACTAAACAAATATCTGAAATCGTAAACTGTATTCGAATTGAAATTTTCAGTTAATCGAATTTTTGTTTAACCGAAAATATTTGCAAATAATTCAAACCAAACCGAAATTAAAAATATATATTAAAAAAAAATTAAAATTCTAATTAAATAAAAAGATTTGCAAATATTTTAAATATTCGAACCAAAACCGAACCAAAATTAAAAATTATATATATTTAAAAATAATTAAAATTTTAATTAATTAAAAATATCTTAAAATATTTTAAATATTTGAGGCAAAACCGAACCAAATAAATATCAAATATGCATTATTTGTATTTGAATCGAATTTGCTCAGTTAATCTTAAATCCGATTCGATTCAGTTCGATTTAGCTGTTTGATTCTGCTTTTTTGTCTACCCCTAGATCAACCTGTTGTTATTATTATTATTACATGATTATTCCATTTGAGATTTATTATTATTATTATTATTTTCATTAAAATATTTTGAATTTTTGAATTTTGCATTCTATTATTTTATTCGTTTCCAACTGAATGTATGCTTTGATTTTTTCAAATTTTTTTAAAATTAAAAAATAATTAATATTATTAGTTAATAAAAATATATAAAATAATTTTAATATATTTATTTTATGACTAAAAAAATATCCTATTATTAGTGTCTTATAATACTATTATAATGACAAATCAAAGAAAAATGACAAAAAATACTACTATCAGTGTCTTATAATATTATTATAATGATATTTATACAAAAATATTATATAAATATAAGAATATTTTTAATGATAAATACAATAACTAAATGAAATATTTGGAGCCGTACAGAAGAAATACTATTTAAAAGGAAATAATATTTAGTTATTTGTATATAAATTATTTTTACGGTAATAAAATAAAAATAACAAAAATAATAAAAGAAATTACAATTAAGTTGGGAGCAAGGATTATAATGGTTAGATAAGTTATTGAGTGATGGATGCCACTCACAACCACCCACACGTGTATATACTCATTCAACACTTTTATTTATTTATTTATTTATATTTAAAAGTTTTTTATAGTATATATTTTTAAAATATCAAATATAATATTTTTTTAATTATTAACTTTTTCTATTGAGTTTGAATTTAAATTTATAATTTGAAAAAAAAAAAAAAAAACTTTATGTTTGAATGGTAATATTTTAAATAAAAAATAATTTATTTGTACAATGTAATAAATTTAAAGCAAATATTCTATTTAGATACATATTTTTACTTTTTAGGGTGTGTTTGTTTGGGGATTGGATTGGATTTACACTGTTCATCTAATTTTTTTCTCCAAAAAATATCAAATTAAACATTTATTTTTTATTTTTTATATTATACTAAAAATCAATTTTATATAAACATCTAATCAACACCTATTTATATCGCATCATACAACTATTCAAATTCAAAATTTTTACTATTCAAATCCCAACTCAAAATCCAAACTCCCAAACAAACACACCTCCGCCCACATAAATTGTCGAGAATTTATATAAAATATACTTAGTAAATAATTAAGAAATATATTAGTAAAACTAATTATTATATAATAAAAATAATTATTGGTTAAGATTAAGATAATTGGATAATTAATTAAAATTAAGAAAATTTAAAATACGATTAAAATGTACGATGATACTTTCAAAAAAATAAAAAATATTATGTGAAACGAACGAAAATAAAAAATATGAATAATTTATATGGAACAAAAAAGTACTATTCATTTGAAATGATTTTTTAATATTTACTTTTAGTATAAAACACTATATTGAAAATAACTATTTGGAGACAAGTTGTATCTTATAAAAACTATACAAATAAATGACTAATCAATTATTCATTTATTTATTTTATTCAAAAAAAAATATTATTTAAGATATATATTTTTTTTGGTATAAAACTTGCTTAATTATGTATTTATTTAGAACTTAACATCGGTTTTTTACAACGAGGGTGTTTCATGCAAATTTTACATTAACAGAAGAGTGTTTCACACAATAAATAAAATACAAGATAATGTTATATAATTTACCCTTTTTATTTTGGATAACGTGAAATTCCATAATCGTTTAATCTAAATAACATGCAAACTATATCCGGTGAAGTAAGTCATGCTAGACGAACCATATGCGGCAAGTAATAACCTCATAGCATCGAAGTTTGAACCATAAACTCACAAGTTCACCTCTCACCACCAGTTTAAACTTTACGGGACAAATTATGAAAATATTTTAAAAGATCATGATATTGTTTAGTTGAAATAATTTTATTTTTTAAATATATTGTGAACAAAATTATATATTTATATTTTAAAAAGTTTCTTTTTATTATTAAAAATGGTGGAGAAGATAAAATACTAAACTCTAATTGGTTAATGTTTTAAAAATAGGCCAACTCAAAAATATTAAAACAATACAATGTATAAACACATAATAATTAAAATACAAAAAAAATCAATAAAGACATACAAAAATATCATAAATAATATTTTTTGTGCCAACTAAAATTACTTTTTTTTTTTCCATGTTCGTCTGCTTCACTTAAAATTATTAAAAGTAATTATACACGGATACAAAAATACTTTGAATTTTTTATATAAATTACAAATATATCATTACATATATAATTAATTTGTATATAAAAATACAAAGAGCAAAAATATTAAAATTATATATGCAATAAAATACTATTATTTTTTAATCCAATAAAATCCAAATGAATACCGAGAAGAAGACAATAATGCTCTTAGGGTGTGTTCTTTTATCATATTTATCTGGATTTTTACTATTCATTAAAAAATTTCCTTAAAAAATATAAATTCAAACATTTATTTTTTATTTTTTATATTATATAAAAATTAATTTTACATTTAAAATATAAGATCAACACTTATTTATATTATATATACAATTATTTAAATTTAAAATTTTTACTATTCAAATTTCAATAAAAAAATTCAAATCCCCTGAACATATACACTGTTAAAAAACTCTTACACAAACAACCCATTTTTTAACCATAGGTGCTTTTGGTTAGAGATTCCTGGTAGAGGTGTGCATTCGGTCGGTTCGGTTAAAAACAAATCGAATTTTTAATTTTGATCCGTTTTTAGTTTACAAAAATTGAAATCGAAACCGAATCAAAGTTTTTCAAAACCAAATAAACCGAAGAAACCAAACTTTTATTTATTAATATATAATATACTTCCTCCGTCCCATAACTAGATATCCATTTGCTTTTTGCATGTAGTTTTAGAAATATTAGTATTACATTGGGATATAGTAGGAATAAAGTAGAAATGACTAAAATAACTTTATTAGTATGTGTGATATAAATGTAATGACATTCGTATAATATATTGTAAATTGTAAGGATATTTGTAAGGTTAGGTAGATAATACAATTACTAAAAAAGAAAATTGATACTTTGTTATGAGACGGACTAAAATAGAAAAATAGATATTTTGTTATGGCACGGAAGGAGTACATATAATCAAATACAAATACTCAAAATTATAATATATTTTTATTAATATGTAAATTATTATTATTATTTTTAAAAGTTCGGTTTCTTCGGTTCATCCAAAATTAAAAATTAAAAATCATAACCGAATCAAAACCAAAATTTTTAAATTCAATTTTGGACCAAACCGAACCAATGAACCAAACAATCCAAACCAAACCGTCCGAATAAAAATAAAAAAAATAAAAAAAAGTTGATTTTTTCGATTTGATCCGACCAAGTCACCCTTAGTTCGTGGTCCACGAAACATAACAAATTAAAGCCCATTCTATATGAACCACCACATAGATACATACATATACATACATACATACATAAATCAACCAACTTGTACTGTAATAAATAAACTATGAAGCTTATGTTAATACACACAACACACTCATTATTTACACGAAAATTCACCGGAGAAGTAGGAAGCGACGGCTGAGTCGACTGTCCTAAGACTCTACGAGCAGCAACTGCCGCCACCGGCAAGTGTCTGATGATCTTGCTTTGGTTTCAACATGATTCTTTTCGCAGATGTTGATCCTACCTCCAGCAGTCGGGGCACCTCCATTATCTACCGAAAATCAAGAAAATTTAAAATTTTTGCGACAAAATATTTAATCGATACAATTTAAATAAAAACAATCGCTCATATATATATATACATAGAGAGAGAGAGGGTACATTGCATAATTTTCACATGTATTTTATTATAAATGCATAAAATAGCTCTTATTTTATATTTCCTCCGTCTGCCTCTAAGGATCATATTTATGTTTTGTGTCATTATACTTAACATTAAAAATATCCTTATATTTGTATAATTTTTTTTTTTTTACAAATGTCATTTTATTAGTATTATAAGACACTAATTGAATTATTTCTGCAATTTTTTATTAATTTGTACGATATTTTGATATAGTAATTAATAGTCAAATATTAACCGGCAAAGTAAATGAGACCCTTAGAGCCAGACGAATGTAGTATATTGCATGAAATCTCCATTATGTTATATTAAAGTATGCACAAATCAGACTCTCTGTATAATCGCTAGCATTTGATTGTAAATTAATATCCGTTTAATTATACAAATAAGTCAAATGAAATGTTTAAAATATTATTCTTTTAATAAATAAATAAATAGAAAATTGATTAACCTTGGTTTCATAGTTTATAAAAATTAGATTACAGGTCGTTTTTATTTTACAAATCGTAAAATGAAAGTGTTGGTCAATTATTTATTTATGTTATTTTATTCAAAGAATACTATTTTACGATATGTCACCTTATTTATTTGCATAACACTTGTTTAATTAGGAGTGTATATGCGTCCAGTTACAATGTCCATCTCTCCATTTTCATCTTTCCCAATTATTCTATCATCTTTTTTAAAAAAAAATTATATACTATAATCTCATTTTAAAATTTTTAATTTATAATTTTTTTAATTTTAATTAATTAGACTAATTAATTATCTTAATCTTAATTATTTTAACGGATACTTTTTTAATTATTACTAATTATACTCCTCGTAAATTCTGGTGTCTACAGTAAATGAGACACGATAGCCGAGACGGAGGGAGTACAACACAAAGAATTTCACGTAATAAATAAAACATACGGTATTTTATATATTTATACCTTCGTTGCAAGCTCTTCGAAACATTGCTCCACGTTTTCTCGAGTTTTGGCGCTACATTCGACAAATAAGCATCCGAGCTCTTTTGCTAGGGCTATCCCTTCTTCCCGGGTCACGGCTCGCTCGGATTCCTAAAACCCGAGAAAAATATTGGATGAGAATTATTAATCAATGTGCGAAAAATATAAATTTGTCGATAGATAGACACAAACTCTATCAGATTTGTTCCCGACGATCATCTTGATGCGATCTTGATTCGTCGAGTAGAGTTCCAATTCTTTCGCCCATACCTCGGATAAATTGTCGAATGTCTCCCTTCTTGTTACATCGTATACTACAAACAATTCAGACAGTTTAAGAACTAGTTTTAAGAATACCAATCCGACCACCGAAATGTGGATAACCTATTTATACAGACGCAACCGTCGACAACAAAGATATATAAAAGCAACACACCAGTAAAGTATGAACTTATAACACATAACTTCGATTAACTTAATAATTTTTGTATTAATTGAAATAATGTGACTTTTTATTTATTTTTTATGTGCGGATTAGGGCTAATCAGTATTGTATCCTAACAAATTAGGACAACATAATATAGGTGTAAATGAGCCATCATCGACTTACCAAGTATGATTCCATGCGCTCCACGGTAATACGAGCTCGTTAATGTCCTAAACCTCTCTTGTCCGGCTGCGGACGCCACCGGAAAATTCCACCGGTGGTCGGAAAATAATCAAAAACATCATCATCATCATACATTTTCGAGATTTTTTTTTTTAAAAAAAAAACTACCTGTGTCCCAAATTGTAAGCTTCAGCCTCTTCCCTGCAGCTGTTAGAAACTTAATCTTGAAATCGACACCTGAAAATCGATCGAACAGGATGTCGAAAAATCGACAAAATCATGAATGGATTGGATTATTTGTAAAAGAAAATCCTGTCCAAATTGACCTCAATTAGCCACTGTGCCCTAGAACTCCAAACAATGCCATATGAACAATGTAATTGAACAAGTAGACGATCAAATTAGGGCAAACAATTCGAACAAGATCATGTCGGCTCGAAAATTGTAATGGCAGAAATCAACCTCAAAGTCCCCAAACAGGAGCAGACAACATCGAATTTGATTTTGAATCATACCTTAAATAAACAGCAACAGCACAAAATTTCAACAATTCCTTCCATCAAATTCCCCAAAACAAAGCTTCAGACATCAATTTGACTAAAATTGTTCAGAATCAGACACAGACCTATGGTCGGAGAAAGATCTTCGACAAGGTTGGAAATGAAACTGACGAGGAGGCTGCTTTTGCCGACGGCGGAATCTCCGACGAGCAGGATCTTGAAGGACAGATCGTAGTTGCTCTGCCCCTGCCCGGAAGTCCCCATCCTTGTTGGTATTCCTATTCGACGATTCCGTAGATGCTCGACATGTAAGGAAAAATGGCAATGGCGTAATCAATAAGAGAGAGAAAGAAGTCGAAAAGGGGACAACATATTCATATGCTAAGGCTTCACGCCATCATAGCTTAGGACTTTGCATCTTTTTCCCTGAAAATTAAAAAATTGAAAAGATCAGAGAGACGTTTGCTCGACAGACAGTCAGCTTCTCTTTTCCTTAAAACCGTTGCCCTGAGCTTAGAACCAGTCCCGTTTCTGTCAGGAAGACGACAACGGGACGGTGTCCGTGGCATTACTGTAATAACAACTATTGGGCTTTTAAAAAAACTAGTCCCATCATAATTTTATTTCAATCATAACTTTATTTTTCACTATTATTTTTTAAATATTTAATTTTTTCTATTATTTTAAACAACTTTTTATATTTATAATTTAAAATATTTTTAAAAAAAATTAAAAAAAATAAAATAAATTTAAAAATAAAAATAATTCAAAAAAAAAAAAAAGCAACTCCAAAATTGGAGTTGCACTGTAGCAACACCAAAAACATGATGCAAGAACCGACGCCAAATCCACCAACCCAACGCCATTAGTGGCGCTGGTTGGAGATGCTCTAAGGCTATGCACTTTTGTAGTAAATAAAAAAATAATAGGTTTAGTTTTGCTCTTTTTATACTAATCAATCACTTTTCGTCGTATGTATTTAAATTATTTATTTTATTAATTTCTTTTTTAAAAAAAAATGCAAATGACGGAAGGTGATTGATGGTTATAGGAGGAGCATAATGTAAGGGGTAGAGTACTGAATCCAAAGATAATATTTCTTTTGTCCCACGTACTATGTCCATTATTTAATTTTGGTGTGTCCACTTATTTTTTTTATTTTTTATTTTTGAAAAAGAATTATACTAACATATTTTAATCTCATTTTAAACTTTAAAATTTATAATTTTTTAAATTTTAATGAGACTAATTAGTTATCTTAATTTTAATCTAAATTATTTTTATTATACTATAATTATTTTAACTAATACATTTTTAATTATTTATTAATTATACTTTTTTTTATTTCTCGTGTGTCTACGCTAAAAGGGAAACGGTAGCCGGGATTGAGAGAGTAGCATTTTATTAGTTAGTATAAGTGTGTAAGAGTTTTAATCCGTATAAATTATTGTATATGTAATTGTATGTTTGTAATTTATGTCAAATTCCTAAAATAGAAAATAAATATTTGGGGCGAGACTACGAAAAAATACTTTAAATTGGAACGGAATAATATATTTTATACTAAATATATATTTTTTTATAAAATATTAAATCAAAGTAATGTTTTCAAATTTTTAAAACTACAAAACTCTCACAATCCTCGTTATCTAAACAACCCAACTTTGAATTAATATTTTATTTATAAAAATTCAACTCTATTGTAATTATTTTATTTTGCTTTATATATTAAGCTATGCTGGTTTTTAAAATAAAAGTAAATTTATTTTTTATTATTATTTTTTTTTGTATAAACACAAAAATTATTTAAATTAAAACCCAAAACTCCATCAACACCAAATATAATATTCAAATCAAACAATACTATGGCGTTGTTAGTTATGTTGTGTTTGTTTAGAAATACTTCAATATCTTTTATTATTCATAAACAAGTTTATTTTAAAAATACCAAATTAAATATTTTATTTTTTATCTTTTATCTTTTATATTATTAAAATTTAATTTTACATTAAAACTATTATATCAAAATTATTAGCATGTAAACCTTCGTGTATATATATACTTTTTTTTAAAAATGAATATTTAATACTATCTTTTCATAAAATAAAATAATTATTTGATATGATTTTCTAAATAAAATTAGTGTTAAATAAATATATTGAAATTAAATATATATATATATATATATATACACGTAAATATAACCAAATGAACATTAATGTTAGCAATGATTCCCATGTTATGTTGCGATGAAGAAGTTGGTGCAGGTCAAGTCCTTTCATGACTGCAACTAGACATCATTAATTCTGGCAATAAAAAACATGGGGATTGGATTTTGAATTTGATTTTATAATTTTCTTTTTTTTTAATAGCATGAGAATTCGTAATTGAGTTCGATAAAATAAATTATATTAGGCGAATTATATATGACAACAAAATCTGAAGACGGTACTTGAATTTAAATTTTTAAGAACACATATTAGTGTCATGTGTTGCATGAACCTCTGCCTATAAAAATTTTTACATATCAAACAAATAAATCAAAGTCAAATAAATTTTTACAGTGATCTTTTATTTTTCCACTTTCTCAATAGCTTTTTACACTTTTCTCCAAACAAAAAACACAATTGTCGTCTCCGTAGAAACCCTGGTTGGATTGTTTGTTATCGGAGAAGTATTCAACAGATCGATTTCTGGTGAGTTGTTTTTTTTTTACACAATTTCTAATACATGAATTAGGAGTGATCATTGTCTATTTCCTTAAATCAAGACAAAGATCTCATCTTGCTACTGGTATATGTGGACCACATAACAATTCCTCTATTGAAGACATCAAACAATTCTTAGATAACGAATTCACTATTAAAGATTTGGGCTAAGCAAATCTGTTTCTTCGTATGCAGATTCATTGATGATACGTTATTGGAAACTGGTTTTTCAACAGCTAAATCATGTGACACACCTTATGTGGTTGGTGGTAAATTACAACACGAACCATTCTCCAAGCCTGGCTTGTATAGAAGGTTTGTCGGAAAATTGTTCTACTTGACTGTGAAAATGTTGAATATTTGCTACTCAGTTCAACAACTTACTCAATTCATGAACAATCGTATTACTCACCATTGTAAGGCTCTTCGAAGGGTGTTAAGATACTTAAGAGGCACTACAAACTTCCAATTCTTGTTTCCTTCTAATGTTGAACCATCACTCCATGCGTTCTGCGATGCTGATTAGGGGAGCTGTCTGGATACCCGCAAGTCCTTGATTGGGTTTTATGTATTTCTTAGTTCGTGCTTAATATTTTGGAAAACCAAGAAACAATCAACAGTAGCTAAATCTTCAGCGGAGGCTGAGTACAGGGCTATAGCAGCAACAATCAATGTCTATGTCTTGCGGTTGAGTTATTCGCTCAAAGATTTTCGGTTGAATGTTCAGTTGCCAATACCTATTTTCTGAGATAATAAATCAGACATACAAAATGAGTCAAAATCCGGTCTATCACGAGCGCACTAAACACATATACATTGATTGTCACTTTATTCGTGATCATCATGCCAAAGGTACTATTGCTCTTCGATTTGTTCCTTCATCTCAAAAATTGACAGACATATTCACAAAAGACACTAGTGTTGATACTTTTAAGCATTTGTGTGTCAAGCTCAACTTGGGATGTATCTCCCAAGTTCAGCTTTGAGAAGAGAATGTTAACACAAGACACTCAAAATATTGAGAACGAGGAATAATTGTCTATGTCTGTTGGTGTTGTTCCTAATTCATCATATTTCAGTTATAACTGTCAGAGTTTGTTATTTTTATTTTGGATTCAGTGATCCATATTTTGTACTGATATATTTTGTGTGTATAAGGTGACATTTTCGGCATGATTTTCATTATCAAAGAGATATATATTTATAAAGTTTAGTTTTTTTCAACTTTTTCTCTGCCTCAACCTTCATAATATATACAAAATAAATTTTAAAAGAAAAAATGAAGGCCTCAACCTTCAAAATATATACAGAATAAGTTTTAAAAGAAAAAAAAGGAAGGTTTCAATCTTCAAAATATATACAAAATAAATTTTAAAAAAACAATGAAGGAGAAAAAGACCTCTAAATTAGGGATCATAGTATGTGCTCTATGTTTTTAGAGAGCGTTTGATTGTAGGTTTTTTGAATTTTTAATGATCATGATTAATGTAATGATAAAATTATAATAGAATGAAAAAAGAAAAAAGTTAGATACAATATTTTTGTAGAACATTATACTTCATATAATAAAAATATTATTCCGTTCAACATAAATTGTTTACATTTTTCATTTCTCTCCATTCCATATAATTTATTATTATTTTTTTATGAAAATATAATTATATATGTTAATCAAATTTTAAATTTCATAATTTCTAATTTTTAAAATTTTAATCAAATTATTTAATTAATTTAATCTTAATGTATAATTATTATACTTTATCTAAATTCTCGTATATAATTTTCGGGGATGGAATGAGTAATATAACACTCCCTTCGTTTCAAAACAATAATATAAAAATATTTCCAAAAGACTAAAATATCCTACGAAACTTATACCAAAAATAAAAATAAAACTATTGTTTTATAATGGACAAAAATGACGAAATGAAACAATTTTGTCTTGGGACAGAGGAATAAGTATTGTACAATAAATTAATTAAATATTAACAATTTTTTTACAATTAAAATTTATATTTAGAAAATTAAATATAAATAAGGAAAAAAATCAATTTTGGTCCAAATATAATCAAAATTAATCAATTTTGGTTCCAATATAAAAAATTCATCAATTTTGGTCCCAATATAATCAAAATTTATTAATTTTGGTCACAATATAAAAAACTCATCAATTTTGGTCCAAATATAAACAATTTCAATCAATTTTGGTCTCATTATAAATAATTTTTATCAATTTTGGTCCCACTGTTAAAAAAACTAACGGAAATTGCTGACGTGGACATGACGGAGGTGACGTGGCAGTTGACCTAGAAAGAACGTAACCATGTACAATTATACACGGCCATGTTGTTACATGACCATGTATATTTCAGTGTATAATTAGACATGACTGTGTTGTTACACGGCCATGTACAATTATACACGACCATGTTGTTAGAGGGCCATGTATATTTCAGTGTATAATTATATATGACCATGTTGTTACACGACCATGTACAATTATACACGGTCATGTTGTTATATGACCATGTATATTTCAGTGTATAATTATACATGACCATGTTGTTACACGACCATGTATAATTCTACACGGCCGTGTATCTTTCTGTTTCGGAAAATTTTTATTTTTTGTTATATTTTTAATTTTTATTTTTTGAATTTAGAATAGTTGATATAGTTAAAATGAAAATAATAATAATAATAATCATAATATAATTAAAATATCATAATATAATTAAAATATATCAATTTTAGTTCAAATATAAATATTTATCGAGTATGTTCTTTTGGAAGATTTTGTCTAAAATTATACTATTTAGTAAAAATTTCAATACATTAATTGGATGTTTGTAAGAGAAATTTTTTTGCTAAATAGTAGAATTTTAGACAAAATCTTCCAAAAGAACATACTCGATAAATACTTATATTTGAACTAAAATTGATATATTTTAATTATATTATGATTATTATTATTATCATTATTTTCCATTTTAACTATATCAACTATTCTAAATTAAAAAAAAATTAAAAATATAACAAAAAATTAAAATTTTAGACCGAAACAGAAAGATACATGACCGTGTAGAATTATACATAGCAGTGTAACAACATAGTCATGTATAATTATACACTGAAATATACATGGTCATGTAACAAGATGACCGTGTATAATTGTACATGACCGTGTAACAACATGGCCATGTACAATTATACACTGAAATATACATGACCGTGTAACAATATGGCCGTGTATAATTGTACATGACCGTGTACTTTCCAGGTCAACTACCACGTCACCTCCGTCATGTCCACGTCAGCAATTTCCGTTAGTTTTTTAACGATGGAACCAAAATTGATAAAAATTGTTTATAATGAGACCAAAATTGATGAGTTTTTTATATTGAGACCAAAATTGATGAATTTTGATTATATTGGAACCAAAATTGATGAATTTTTTATATTGGAACCAAAATTGATTAATATTAATTATATTTGGACCAAAAATTGATTTTTTCCCTATAAATAAATACTATACAACTATTAATTATAAATACATAAATAAACAAACCCTACCCACGCCGCCGCCGCTGCTACTCCCCCACCCCCTCCTCCACTTTTTTCCTCTTCCCCTCTTCCTTCTTTTTGCTTTTTCTTCCTTCTTCTTCCATCTCCTTCTTCTTCTACGTTGCGCCTCCGTCTTTCTCCCGAAGTCGTAGTCCGCCGCCGCTAGCCGCTGTAGCCGTGCTGCTCGCCTGCAACCGAACCGTGTAAAAAACGGTTTTGGTTCACCGTCGTTTAAAACCGGCGAACCGGTGATTTGGACCGCCGGGTCGGACCGGTTGGGCAATTCGATATATAAGGCGTGCTTTAAACCTAAAACTTTCAAACTTTGTCTTCTCCGGTTGAAGCAGAGCGGCTGAGCACTCTGCCACCGCAGGCCGGCGAGGAGGAAGGAAAATGGTGAAGGCCTACCTGAGATACGAGGCGGCGGCGTCGTTCGGGGTGATAGTTTCCGTTGATTGTAATATTACTTATGACAGCTCCGGCAAGCATCTTTTGGCAGGGGCTTTGGAAAAGCTTGGAGTTTGGCACGTCCGGCAGGGGATTTGCACCAAGACACTAGTTCCTTCTGCTTCTTCATCTTCGCGCGGTCCGTTGCTCGCTGTTACATCCATAGCCTCGTCTCCTTCCACTCTGGTAATTTTCCTTAAATCTTATTGTTTTAGTGCATTTTAAATTAACTGTTTTGATTTTAGATGATGGATACTTATAATGGTAGATTGAATTCATATCTTTGAAATGTATCAACCATGATTGTGTTATTATCATATCATCAAGGTGCTTCTGTGTTCAAATTACCCTTTGAAGTGTAGTAATGGTGATTTATGTTTGTCTGGTGATGCCTCTAATTTAGTAAATTGCATTGTATTAAAATTATCTTCATGGTTTCATTTTGCATAAATCTTATTGAACTACTTGCATTGGTTTTGTTTTTATTAAGAAGCATATTCGAAAGAAAAAAAGAAACAAAAAAGTTTGTGTTTTTTGGAATGAGACATTTTTCTAGCTCCAATGCCCGTACTAATAGTTTATGTATAATGTACATATTATTGTGTTTGTTTTGTTTTTATAGTTTTATGTGTTATTGTTGTGAGTGGTTAGAAATTGTGAAAATATTATAATAGATGTTTTTATGATTTTGTTAATTTTTATATTATATGTTTATATATTGTATTTTTAAGATAAAATTTTTGAGGAATTGTATGGATGAAAAACATAAGGGAAACACTATATGGGTGCATGGAGTTTATTTTTTTACATTAACACCGGTTCCTTGTGCTAAGTGTGCTCGGATATTTTAGATTTAATTTCTTGAATGAATGTTATATTTGAAATTTATAATACATGTTACATATTACATACTGCTGTAGGTCTTTTACTGCAATGTTTTAATTAATTATATTAATGATGTAATATTCATCAATTTTGGCTTACACACGTCACTATTTGGTTCCATGTTTTAGTGCGTTTTAAATCTGCAGATGTGTTAATCTCTTAGGCAATAAATGCTGTTTGGTTTTGCAGATTGCTAGTGGCTATGCTGATGGTACTGTAAGAATATGGGACAGCGAGAAGGGAACATGTGAAACTACTCTGAATGGACATAGAGGTGCTGTGACAGTTCTTCGTTATAACAAGCTTGGATCGTTGCTTGCCTCTGGAAGTAAGGATTGTGACATTATTTTATGGGATGTAATTGGTGAGGCTGGTCTCTTTCGATTACGTGGGCACCGGGATCAGGTTTTTCTTGATTTTTTGTTTATAAAGTGTAATTTATTTTCTTGTTGCATCGTTCTGTAGAATTCATGAGTTTGTTTGTTTCATACTACTTTGATTTTCGGGGGTAGCAGTATTTTAATCATTTTCTTTGTTTTTACGCAATGTAGGTTACTGATCTCATCTTCCTTGATTCCAGTAAAAAGCTTGTTACTTCATCGAAGGACAAAGTTTTGAGAGTTTGGGATCTGGAAACACAACACTGTGTTCAGATTGTTAGTGGTCATCACAGTGAAATTTGGTCAATTGATGTGGACCCTGATGAAAGATATCTAGTCTCTGGATCAGCAGATCCAGAGATTAGATTTTTCAAAATTAACAATGAGTCAGCTGGTCGAAAAGGTGGACCTGAAATAAGTGAAACTGATGCTGACAATGGAACTTCTTCTGTGCTGAACAAATGGGAAGTTCTAAAACATTTTGGTGATATTCAGCGTCAGAGCAAGGATAGAGTTTCTACCATTCAGTTCAACAAGTCTGGTAATTTACTCGCTTGTCAGGTTGCTGGGACTACAGTGGAGATATTTCGTGTGTTGGACGAGTCTGAATCCAGACATAAAGCGAAAAGGAGAATTAAGAGGAAGTTGAAAAAAACTACTAAAGGAAAAGATGATACTATTGAAAATGGAGACCAGCATATGGATTCTGAAGAGAGTAGTGAGTTCCTTGTTACAATCCAAGACATCTTTAAATCTTTTCAGGTTGTGCGAGCAAAAAAAAAGATATGCTCTATATCTTTTTGCCCCATAACTCCAAAGAATTCCCTGGCTACCCTAGCCTTATCTTTAAACAACAATTTATTGGAATTTTATTCAGTTGAAGACAGTCAGGCGGCACGAATAAGTGCTATTGAGCTCCAGGGACATCGTTCTGATGTGAGAAGTGTCACTCTTAGCTCAGATAATACACTTTTATTGTCGACAAGCCACAGCTCGACTAAAATATGGAATCCTAGCACTGGATCATGCCTCAGAACAATTGATTCAGGATATGGCTTATGTGGCTTTTTTGTCCCTGGTAATAAGTATGCAATTGTTGGTACTAAAAGTGGGACTCTGGAAATTGTCGATGTTCGAAGTGGTACTTGTGTGGAAGTAATAGAAGCTCACAGCGGCTCTATACAGTCTATAGCTCCAACTGCGGATGGTTTTGTCACAGGAAGTGTGGACAAGGATGTTAAATTTTGGGAATACCAAACTAGTGAAAAACCTGATCAAGTGCGCCCTATATGAGTTCTTTTGTACTATTTTGTTTCTTTTTATTGATTGAATGATTTAAAGATTTATTTTTATGTGCGAGACCACATTCTAAGGCAGCTAAAATATATTTAATCATTTGTAGGCTAAACATCTGACGGCTTCTCCAGCAAAGAATCTCAAAATGAATGATGATGTTGTAGCAGTTGCTGTGAGCCCGGAGGGTAAACACATTGCTGTTGCCTTGTTGGATTGCACAATGAAGGTTGAATATTTATTATCTAGTATGATCGTATGTTATATATGGCTCAAATGAAGGGTAATCAGTTTCATATGCACTATGCAATAAGCAACTTTGAATGATTTTTCATATTTTACTTTTAGAACTTAAAAAAAAGAACATTTTGGCCAGTAGTCAGATATGTGAACAGAAATTGGCTCATTTTGTTTCATCTATAAACAATTTATTTAAATGATTTTGTAGTTGTTGTGGATGGTTGACCCGGTGTGTTTATTCTGTTATGTTGACTTTCTTTTTGGTTTACATTGTTGTTGCTTGAATGATATAATTCTGCAGTTGATTTGGAAGATCTGAGGGTTGAAGTACTTCATGGATGGAATCTTTTGATATATTCCTAATCATTTTTCTTAATTTATTTAGGTCTTCTACATGGACACACTTAAATTCTTCCTCTCCTTGTATGGACATAAGCTGCCTGTATTGTGCATGGACATATCTTCTGATGGGGATTTGATTGTCAGTGGTTCTGCGGATAAAAATTTGAAGATTTGGGGGTTGGATTTTGGTGATTGCCACAAGTCCCTTTTTGCTCATGCTGATAGGTATGTTCTCCAATCTACTGGAAAAACAATCTTCAGTTTACTTGTTCTTTTTGACTGCGTGATTATAATACTTAAAGATTGTGGTGGGGTTATTAAATGTGTTACGCTGTCTTCATTGCAGTGTCATGGCTGTTAAATTTGTTAGAAATACCCATTACGTGTTCAGTGTGGGGAAGGATCGCCTGGTTAAATACTGGGATGCCGACAAGTTTGAATTGCTACTAACTCTTGATGGCCATCACTCTGAAATTTGGTGTCTAGCAGTCAGCCATCGTGGTGATTTTCTTGTAACAGGATCTCATGATAGGTCTATTCGCCGTTGGGATCGGACTGAAGAACCTTTCTTTATTGAGGTATTTCTTGTTCAATATGCTACATGGCTCATGTTGCCTCAAGCATGTTATATTGTTTTAATGTTTTCATTACTGACTCATTGTCTTATCTAATGAGATCTTTAAAACTTCTGGGAGCTTCCTGGTTGTGAGATGACATTTTACTATTCTTTGCAGGAAGAGAAAGAGAAAAGGCTAGAAGAGATGTTCGAGGCTGACCTTGACAATCCTTTTGAGAGCAAGTATGCGCCAAAAGAGGAGCTCCCTGAGGAGGGTGCAGTTGCATTGGCAGGGAAGAAAACTCGAGAAACAGTGACTGCAACTGATTCTATTATGGAAGCATTAGACATTGCACAGGAGGAGCTGAAACGTCTAGCTGAACACGAGGTACTTTAGTTTGTTTGATCTCTCCAATTGCACTTTATCCTTATTGATTTCCATATTTTCATTTAGTTGTTCGAGGGTTGGGATGCTCTATTCATTGCAAGTTTTACAGCTTGAGATTTGTTCTGAATACATATTTTTCTTACACTTGTAAATTTTTCAGGAAGAGAAATCAAAAGGGAGTGTTGCTGAATTTAGGCCGAATGTTCTGATGCTTGGTCTTTCTCCATCTGATTATGTTCTGCGTGCAGTTTCAAGTGTTCCCACCAACGATTTGGAGCAGGCATTGCTAGTAAGTCTGATTGTGTAGCATCTATATATGAAATCTTATATGTTTGGATTGAATACCTGATGGATCATAATTCATACCCGATTATATGTCTATATGTTTCTTCTGTATGAAAATAAAGTTTAACTAATGAGCTTTAGCTGAAAGTCGTATCAGAACAAACTTACCATTGGCTGTAGCTTAAAAAGTTGTGCCACTTGTATTTAATTTTCCCAGTCTGATAAATTACGTAGGTTTCATATATTACAGTTTTCAGCTTTGACATTCCCCGTGAGCTTCATTGTGAGTAAGGAGCTTGATGTATTACTATTTCCGTGTTTACCTTCTTGCAGGCCCTGCCATTCTCAGATTCCTTGAGGATTTTGTCGTATTTGAAAGATTGGGTAGCTTTACCTGATAAGGTGAGTGATATTGAAAATCTGTAAGTGTGTTGGGTCGATGGCTGTTTATTGAATACCTTGTTCAATTCAATCAATAGAATCAATTATTTTGATTTTTAGGAGATTATCACATTCTCTGGATGAAAATTTAATATTTAAACTTACATGCTGATCATTTGAAACAAGGTTGGCTTTATGTGTTTTCTCGATATCGAGCTTAGTTATATTTCTCTGACAATGATTCAGATCATTTTGTATACAGCCACATTTTAATGATTACATTTTCTTGCAAGTAAAAGTCATAAAAATCTTGTCTAAATATCTGAGTAATGTGTTGGGATCTGCATAATTTTCTGATGTAACATTGGTTTCTATTTTCCAGGTTGAGCTCGTTTGTCGGGTTACCACTGTATTGTTGCAAATTCATCATTACCAGCTAACCTCGACTGCATCTGCTCGACCCATCATTTCTAATCTCAAAGATGTATTGCACACAAGGGTGAAGGTACTATTTCATTTCTCAATATATAATCTGCAATAAAAAAATTCATCGTAGGTTACAATCAAATAATATCTTATTTTTGGGATGTGCAATGGATCTGTCTTATGGGTAAATTCATTGTTGTTTCAAAAATACAGATTTGTATTAGTACTCAATCCAAATTACATCCACTCGACAAATGTTAGTTTTAGAATTTGAGTTATGACATACTTTGAATCGATAATCGTTTTCAATTTGAATATAAAATCTGTATTTGATCGAATCATTGGTGGTAATAGGAATGCAAGGATACATTAGGCTTCAACTTAGCTGCAATGGATCATGTGAAGGTAAAAACTCCCCTACTTAGGCCATTTTATTTATTTATTTATTTTCACCCAACATGTAAAACCAATCCTTTCTTCTTCCTATCGCAGCAATTGATGGCTGCAAAGTCCGATGCCCCGTTCAAAGATGCAAAAGCTAAACTGTTGCAGATACGCGCGCAGCAATCGCAGCGCGCCGATGAAAAGTTGCTACCGCGGGAAGAGAAGAGGAAGAAGAAAAAGAAGCATAAGATCGATAACGGACATGTATGGTCGTGAGCCATTCATAATTGATGTCCTCTTCTAACAACATACTCGGAACATCCATTTGCTGCAGCTGTTTGGACACTGTCTTTAGTCTACGCAAAATTTTGTTCGACTGGCCGAGGTTAGTTTCCGTTTCCTGCTGTAAATAGATCTTGATGCACACAATAGTCCTACCGTTGCATTATACTGGTTTTTCGCACAATTGTTGGAGCAAGTTAGCGTTATTTATTTATAGATGGAGCTTTAAGGGGCAATTTGACAATTTGACAAGAAAAGGTTTTAGGACAGAAAAGATTTTGGACAATTTGATGTTAGTTTGAGTATATTTGGAGTGTTGGCAATGTATGGTATGGATAATTATATTTATTCACTTAAAATTTTTGGAGTTTTATTTATTTAATTTTTGGAGTTTTATAGTAAATTAAAAAAAAAATACTCAATTCTAAGGGTCACATTTATCTTTTGCGTATTTAATATTAAAAATATTTTTATATTTGTATAATTTTTTTACAAATGTTCTTTTATTAGTATTAGTATTATAAGACAGTGATGGAAATATTTTTGTAACTTTATTTTTATAAATTGTACTACGTGCGGATATAATAATTAATATTCAAAAATGAATATGCAAAAAGTAAATGAGACTTTTGGAGTTGGACGAAGATAGTAGTATTTTATGAATGAGTGAAAGTGTGTAAGATATTTTGGTATTATTGTCCTTTGAGTTTGTATAAAGTAAGGCTCAGCGTTTTTGGATACATTTATTTTTGGTAAAAAATTCTTGCACGAACAGACCTTAATTGTAATAGGAGTAATATATTTGTAATTTAAATAAAAATAAAAAATATTTTGGTATTAGAATATAATTATTTTTATTAAAATAGAATAAAAGATATTTTGAATAAGATAAACGAAAATAATAAAAATTATTTTAACTTACGAAGAAAGAAGTATTTTTCTCAAATGGCATTATACGAAATTAATTCATAATATTGTATTTTAAATAAATAAATAAATATATATGTACATTTAATTTATTTTTTTTATAAAATTAGTTTAAATTAATTATAAATATATATTATATTTTTCATTTACCTCTATTATATAATTTTTTTTATATATTTTATTAAAATATATTTTTTAAAATATTTAATATATATTTCAATTTTTAAATTATATATGTCATATTATAAAATAAATAAATTACTTTCAATCTAATTTTCACTTATAATCCAATCTGTGGCCGAGTATGACTCATTTCAATATATATATATATGTATATATATATATATATGCTAATTTGAGTTTTTTTTAGTAATTGTATTTTTTACTTTAATAAAAAATATCTCAATATTTTATATAATATTACAAACATTTCTATTAAAACGTAAATGAGTTTGAGGGTCAAATAAATATAGTTTAAAAATTTCATAAAAAAAATTGTGCTTAAATATAAAACAAAATAGATCCGAAAATTTTTGGGCTATGTCATCCTAGAATGAGTGATGAACTGTGCAAAATTCGGGCCTATTTAGGTCGGACTATGCTTGCTTGACTCGGCCCAATTTAATAAAAAATATTTTAAATTAAATAATTTTATAAGTCTATTAATTAAGTAAATTTATAAAAATAAAAATATAATGACGCCATGTGCTGGCCGTTGGGTTTGCTTTGTATTTCTAATTTATTTTTTCACTATTAAATTTATATATTTTAAGTAAAATATTTTTATTTATAAAATATTGTGATAAAATATTACTCCCTCCGTGTCACATACCGTGTCTGCTACACTGTAAATACGGTATTTTAGGAAGAGTGTGATTAGTAGATAATTAAGAATATATTAATGAAAATAATTATCTTATAATATAAATAATTATAAATTAAGATTAAGATAACTAATGAGTTTAATTAAATTTTTTTAAAAAATAAAATTAAAAAATTTAAAATGAGATTAAAGTGTATAATCATTTTCCAAAAAAGGAAAGAGTGACATGGTATGTAGGACGGACAAAAATGGCAACGTGGACATAATACATGGGACGGAGGAAGTATATTTGAACAAAAATTTAATAAAAAAATTCAAACCCAAACTAAACATGATTTTTTGGTGATTTTTTTTTTTTTTTTTTTTAAATGTCTACTATCCAAATTTTATAATTTTTATAAAATATAGTATCGTTCTCTCATTAAAAAAAAATTATATTCAAATCGCTATTAAAAAGAATCACCAATCATAGATACTATACAATTTATTTTGAATCTTTATATATATATATATATATGACTATATAGAAATATATTATATAATTTCATCAAATATCACATAAAGTATTAATTTGGCTTCCGAAAATGATTTTGGAATTACTACATTCAAGACCATTTTCTTAAAGTCTCGGAATTTCTTTCGAATGGTGTCTGAAGAATAAATTAAATAAACTCAAAATTTTCAAGACTATTTTAAATGATTTTGGAATTTTCGAGACCAAATCCAACGCTAATTATTAATTGTCTTGAAATTCGAGACCAATTTTTTATGTTTCAAAATTTTGAAGCAATTTTTAAATATTTACAAAACACATTAAATTCAAAATTGGATCACTGGAAAATTTCCCGGCTACCCGGGACGCTGGATTCTCCCCCACCCTCAAGCAGCGGCGGCAGTGGGCTTCGTGAAAAGGAGAGAAAAGGCCAAGATAGACAAAATGCTTTTTTTTTTTCCTTAAAAAAAATAAATCAAGAAATCGACCGGTGAATTTATGAGCTCGTGATAATACAATATTGAGGCCCTGTCGATTTTTGTCTATCTGATGTAATCTTCATTGCAAAAGACATGATAATACCGAGGGAGTGTCCTCGAAACTTATGTATTTTCCTATTAAAAAAAAATGAATTGTTTTGATTATCAGAGCTTCAAGTTCCGCTATCTTCTTGACCGATATTTGTTTGATGTTTGCGTTGCGCTTGCACGCTTCATCGAGCATGCTCGTTAGTTGATGCCACAACTTTTTCAAATTTTATTAATTAAATATAAATAATATATAACAAAAAAAAAAATAAAATTCAAGACTATATACTCATAAACTTTTGAGCTTTTTTTTTTTTTAAATAATATATTTGATATATAAAAATAATTTATTTAGATAAAAATAAAATAATAAAAACTATTAGGCATTTTATATATTCTTTTATGAGAGAAAATTTAATACTCTCTCCGTCACGGAACTAAATATTCATTTACTTTTTGCACGTAGTTTTAGAAATATTAGTATTATATTGGAATATAGTAGGAATAAAGTAGAAATGACTAAAATAACCTTATTAGTATGTGTGATATAAAGGTAATGACATTTGTGTAATATATTGTAAGTTGTAAGGGTATTTGTAATATTAAGTAGATAGTACAATTACTTAAAAAAAGAAATTGATACTTTGTTATGAGACAAACTAAAATGAGAAAATGGATACTTTGTTATGGGAGGAATGAAGTATGACAGTTTTTTGATATTTGTTAATGTCCAAGACCTTGATAAGTAGTGTAAGAAATTCCAATAATATGCAAATAGTCCAAATTCAGTAAATTATTATTATTATTATTTAAACAAAAACTCACCAATTCAAATAAAATAAGAATAATTCTAGAAATTACGTCTTATATGAAAGGAAAAGGAAATTAAAAAAAATGAGCAAAATATATATATATATATATATAAATAGGTATGTTTGTTATTGTTAGTTACTTAAACATACATAAATATATTTTTCTAATTAAAAAATAAAATAAAATAAAAATATCCCAAATTGATTCTAAACATATCCAGATTACATCCCAATTATATAATACTACTACAATATTTACAATGAGTTTACTATATTTTTCCATGATTTTTTCAACAAATTAAAAAATTTAATGGTTTTAAAAAAAGCAAAGAAGTTATTGCATTATTTAAATCTAACAATATTTATATATACAAAATTTAAAATTAAATAGTTTCCTTCTTGAGTGTGCAATTCCGTCCACGTATCTGACCGTTACACATTACGTACATTTATACGTATCAATGTCGGATTAAAAATTCAATCGTGGATTAAATATAATTATTTGGCTATGAGTCAGGTTAAGCTTGTATTAAGTGATATATGATTTATTGGGCTTAAATATATTTTGTAAATACGTACAGAAATTCGGTAATTTATTAATTGAGTGACGATGCCAATTAATAATAATTAATAATAAATGATGCAACAAAAACCTCGGGTAATTTGTAGATCTGAATCTGCTTGCGCTGATGAAATAAGGTTATATTTAATGGTTTAATTCCAACAATCTATAAGTATAAATCATGCGTATCTAATTTCATTACAATTTAACCAACATTTCGAATGGATTTCAGAATTGCACTCTACTGTCTGATCGCTCTCTGCAGTTCCCACGGTACGGTTCCATCTTTTTCCTTCTTTCCTCGCATTTTATTTTTGACGATTTTTCCGCCGGCGCAGGTGTTAAGTCCGCCGTCTTCACCGTAGAAAACAACTGCCGGTTCACGATCTGGCCGGCGATTCTAACCGGTCGCGGCGGCGCTGTTTTATCCGGATTCGAATTAGCCCCACGCGCCGCCCAGAGCGTCGCCGTGGCTCCGCCGTGGTCCGGCAGGGTCTGGGGACGATACAACTGCAAAAACAACGGGACGTTCGTTTGCGATAGCGGCGACTGCGTCACCGGAAAAATCCCCTGCGACACCGCCGGCGGGATTCCGCCGGTGACGCTCGTGGAATTCACGCTCGCCGGCGCGGACAACAAGGATTTCTTCGATGTCAGTCTGGTCGACGGATTTAACCTTCCGGTGGCCGTCGCACCGTCGCGGAGGAGCTGCCCGCCGACGAGCTGCCCGGCGGACGTCAACAGCGGCTGCCCGGCGGAATTCGCGGTCAGAGGCGGCGACGGGAACGTGGTGGGGTGTAAGAGCGCGTGCGTGGCGCTGAATCAGCCGGAGTATTGCTGTTCCGGCGAGTTTAGTACGCCGGAAAAGTGCCCGCCGACGAAGTACTCGATGATGTTCAAGAGACAGTGTCCGCAGGCGTACAGCTACGCGTACGACGATGCGACGAGCACTTTTACTTGTCCCAACGGCGGCGATTATCGCATCACTTTCTGTCCTAATTAGAACTTTGATTTTAGGGTTTTCATGGATGAATAATGAAGAGATTGATTAAATGTTTGATTGATTATATTGGGGATTGAAAGAATATGATTTTAGGGTTTACACAAACACAATAATGCAAGTTTCATACCGGTAGTGTAGGGGTTGGACTTGTGACCATGAGGTCATGGTTCAAACCTCCGATGCCTCAGGTAACCTGCCACACATGGTTCGCCTAGTGTAGAACTAGCAAAAACTGACCCGACAACCCAACACGGAATAATTGGGTTTCGGTTATGCAGGACCCGATTATAATATATTAATATTGATTAATATATTTATTATATATATAAAATAATCATAATTTAATAATTTTTTCCATAAATTAATTTAAACTAAGTTCAATTTTAAATAATTCAATCTATTTTACGCTCAAACTAATAAAAACTAACATAACAAAAAATTATTTAATTTGAATCAAGAAATACGACTTAATTATGTATACAGGTCAACAGGAGTCAACCCGAACCCGACACGATAATAAACGGGTCAACACGAACCCGATACGATCATAAACGGGTCGGGTTAAAGTTGAGTAATTTAACTCGTTTAAAGTATTCAACCCGACACGAATTGACTCATTGACAGCTCTAGCCTAGTGTGATTTTCCGGTCGGGCCTGGTTTGTAGGATATTAGGCTCGGCCGGGAGTTTACCCAGTACGCACTTTCGGATTCCCACGTCATAAAAAAAAAAAAGATAAAACATCGTAAATAATTTTTTTAATAATATAAATAAATAAATAATTGATTAATACTTTATTTTATAGTAATTTTTTTTTAAAGACAAATTATTATCTAATTGTTACAAAAACTATAAAAATAAATAATTGATCAATTATTTGTTTATTTATTTTGTTAAAAAATTATTTAAAATATTATACGTCTTTTATTTGTATAAAATTTGAGTATTTAAATTTCTATTTAGAACCAAACATTCCATTTGAAATAGAAAAATATTTTGTCCAAACTTTAAATTAATGCAAAGGATCACGCAATAAATAAAACTCAAAATATGTTGTTTTTCTTTTTACTAATGCATTTAAGTAAACATTTCAATGAAATGACATAGGTACAATTTATCCATCCAAATTTATATTTATTTTTTAATATTCTATATAAAACAATATTCCATTATAAAAAATCTAAGAACTTGATTTTTATTTTTTGAAATGGAAAATTAATTTAATATTTAAATGAAGAGAAGTTAAATATGCTATTTTTATAATGTGGAATTTTGTTTTATTATATTCTTATTATTTCATTAGCACTAAAAAAAATAATATATTTGTAACAGAATTTTGTCCCTAAAGTTCACGTAACTAATGTAATTCCATTCCTAATTATGTCTCTAATGTCATTAGTAACGGAAAAAGTAGATTTAGAGACAAAAATATTTTGTTACAAAAATGATTTTTTCTTGCAGTGTAGTACATGAACAAAATTAAAGACACCCTTTGTGTTTCGTAATAATTCGACCGCTTTGAATTGGCCATGGATTGGGTGTTTTGAATTTTATTTATTTATAAGGTTGTTAAATTTATTTAATGCAGACTATTTAAATAATGCGGATTACATTTGTATTTAATGTGTAATTATTGTTGAAGATAAATTTGGAGATTCAAATTCATTGCAAATAATCCTTTCGTCTCATAACTAGATATTTATTTGCTATTTGCACGTAATTTTAGAAATATTAGTATTATATTGGGCTGTAGGAATAAAGTAAAAATTACTAAAATAACTTTATTATTATGTGTGATATAAAGGTAATGACATTTGTATAATATATTGTAAGTTGTAAGAGTATTTGTAATTTTAGGTAGATAGTACTGTTACTAAAAAAAATAAATTGATACTTTGTTACGAGATCGACTAAAATGAAAAAATAGATATTTTGTTATGGGACAGAGGGAGTATATGAAAAGACGGGGCAACGTAAAAATCCATTTTTTAATTTCATTACTCACTTAAACATTCTTAAAAATAAAACATTGAACACCGAGTGGTTTTTTTTTTCTAAGTTTATTTATTATATTTTTAAAATAAAAATACATTATTTTCTTCATAAAAAAAATATTAAATCGAATCGAATTTTGAATAGAACAAGATTCTCTTATTAATGCAAAATGGCACAAACTTTATAATTTTACAAAATTGCGCCAAATTCTCGTATTTCTAAAATTGCGTTAAACTCTCTCATAATTTCATAAAATTTGCTTCTAATCTCCTCGGTCGTTCCTATTTAACGATGTTTGATACTTTGACAACTGCAAATGAATTTCAATTTATTTTTTTATTTTTTTGTTATATTTAACCTCAAAGAACAATAAAAAAAAATTAGTACAACATAAAAATAACTATTTTCGAATATATTTACTATTTTTTATTGTAATTATAACAAGGAGAATATTTGTATTAAAAGATTTTAGAAATGAATATTTGTTAGATAATGTAAATAACCGACCAATCTAATACTCCTTTCGTCCCATAATAAAGTATCCATTTTTTCATTTTAGTTCGTCCCATAACAAAGTATTCATTTCCTTTTTTTAGTAACTGTACTATCTACTTAACATTACAAATATCCTTACAACTTACAATATATTACACAAATGTCAGTTCCTTTATATCACACATACTAATAAGGTTATTTTAGTTATTTCTACTTATTTTAGTCATTTCTACTTTATTCCTACTATATTTCAATATAATACTAATATTTCTAAAACTATGTGCAAAAAGTAAATGGATATTTAGTTTCGGAACGGAGGGAGTAGTTTAAGCTGTTAGGATACATATTATTTATATATTTATTTACAAACGAAAGTCAACCAAAAATATTCGCAGTTTGACGTGTGCAAGTAGGGTTAGATACAAAATTTCATAAAATAACTTTTGTGTAATTTTATCTTTGATTAATTTACAAAACCTTAGTCCCAATTGCTTAAAATAAATGTTGTCGACATCGCTAGGGGCTCCCCACACGTTATCTTATTTGTATTCTCCTAAATTCATTTTACTTGTGTTTTCAAAATTAGTCTTCTTCTTTTTCTTTTTTATTTTTTTTAATTCTAAAAAATACTACATTTTATATTAATTTCTATTTACATTATATCACATTTTAATTATTTCTAAAATAATTTTGAATTTCAAAATATCTCAAAATACTTTCAATGCTCAAATCAAACGAGTATTGAAAGAAAAGTGGACTAACATTTGGAGGTGAGATTTTTATTTATTTATTTATTTAGAATAAAACACTCCCTCCGTCTACTTACAATGTCTATATATTTTTATTTTGGGACATTTAATTACAAAGTTAACATTTTATTAAATACCCTATTTTTTTTTCCACAAATACCCTTACTTTACATCACATCATTACTTTTACACAAAAAAGTGAAGACAAAAATGTCATTACACTACTTTTAACTACTCACTATAATTAAAATATTATTATTTCTTAAACACCGCGCCAAAAGTAAATGTAAACATTGTAAGTAGACGGAGGGACTACTTTTTTCCGTATGCCTTTAAGGGTCGTATTTATCTTTTGCGTCATTTTACTTAACATTAAAAATATCCATATATTTGTATAATTTTTTGTACAAATGTTCTTCGATTAATATTATAAAACACTAATAGAAGCATTTTTGCGATTTTTTCTTAATTTGTATTATGTTTTGATATATTATTCAAATATCAACACACAAAAAATAAATGAGACATTTAGAATCGGACGGAGATAATATATGTTTATTAAAAGTTATAAACATTTAACAATGGAGTGTTTATTTTGTGTTTTTGTACGCATATATATTTTTTTATGTTAAACATAAAGAATTGTGTTGATAATATAGAAAATAGTAATATTATGTCTCGAAATTTTGACTTCTTGTAAGTGGATAAGATATATGTATTATATATTATGTTAATGAATGTATATATTGTGTTTATAAATTATTTGGGTTAACATTAAAAAAAAAAAAAAAAAAAGGTATAGATAACATAGCCACAACACTATGTTTAAAATAAAAACAAAGGATAATTATATCTTTAGTTTCGTAAATAGAATCCTTTATTATTTCGATTATTTAACTGAAATATATATATAAAAAAATAGTTTAATATCTAATCCACAGTCCATTAAAAAGTTATTTCATCTATCCCACATAATTTGTCTATTCTTTATATTTTGATCCGTCTCACATAATTTATTCTTTCATTTTTTTAAAATATAATTATACACTTTAATCACATTTTAAAATTCATAATTCATAATTTCTTTTTAAATTTTAATTAAACTATTTAGTTATCTTAATTATAATATATAATTATTTTTATTATATAATAATTATGTGTACTAATACACTTACTTACTAATTATATAATATCTAAAATTTCGTACCCTAAAATAAAATGGACAAATTAGCTAAGATTGATAAAATATTTCGTATTGAAATAATGTTCTATGTGTAAACATAGCAGCGGGAGTTGACATGCATTGGGCTAGCCACTTTGAAACATCAAATATTGGTATTTAAATTTTATATTTCCAAAAATTGGAATGATTACAGTGCTGATTTGAAAAATTCAGCATCGAACTGATTCAACATATATTTTTATTACACATATCATATGTTATGTATAATAAAGACATACATTGTTTGTTCATAATTCTATGTGTTATATAAGAGTATATCATGAGCTAAAATCAATTGTTGTATATAGTATGTTATTATAGTATGTATTGTTAATTCATGTATTGTACTTGTATTATATTAATATATATAATGTGATATCTGTAATAATATTATGTGTTACTCAAACAATGTGCTTTTTTAGCACAATGCTAAATTTAAATTCAATATTTTGTAGTCCGTAGCCTATAAAAAGATATACTCCATCCGTCTCATGTAATATGGTTGTATTACTGTAAATACGAGAATTTAGGTAAAGTATA